GATTTTATTTATTTATTCATGAGAGACAGAGAGAGAGAGAGAGGCAGAGGGAGAAGCAGGCTCCCAAGGAGCAGGGAGCCCGATGCGGGACTCGATCCCAGGACCCTGAGATCATGACCTGAGCCGAAGGCAGACACTTAACCATCTGAGCCACCCAGGCGCCCCATGGCAATATATTCTTAAAACAGGGGCTATATCAGTTGTGTAGGGTATTAGGCTGAAGATAATGAAATAACATGCTATATTTAGTCAGGGTAATTGGATTAGTTTCAGAAAAAGAAGCAGTGCCAGCTTTGTTCTGTACAATGCTGGACTTTATAAAAATTCACCTAACTGATACTGATTTTCAAAGTCTTTACTGACCTCTTGGATACTCAGACTAACCAGTTTGGATTGATTTTTGAAATTCCCTTTTTCTTTGTAGTAAAGCTAATTGTTTTCTTTCCCTCCCCTATTACAGATGTAACATTTACATTTTTAATATTTATTTATAGACACTTAAAGGTGTATCTGTATAGGACATAGCCAAATCTGTTGCATTTAACCATATAGTTAAATTTAGAACATGCTAGATAATACTGTTGAAGTTGTTTTTGTCTCTGATATTGGTTATGAGTGATGTGAATGATTAAATCAATTCCTCACATGCATGCTGGCGATACCCATCATCCTCACTTCTTGAAAAAGACATATCATTTAAATCTAGCCTGCTAGGATTATAGAGGGACCTTAAAATTCAACTCTTGTGGTGGAAATGTATAACCAATCTTTTTCTTTTTTGTTTGGTGAGGAAGTCCAGCGAGCTGGTGTCTTCTTAATGACCACCTGTCGTTTTATAAGGCTACAGTCTCTTATTCAGAACCCTTGGGCCTGGTGTGTTCTGTTATTTAGATTTAAAAAATTATTTTAGAAAGTAATACAGTACATATGCTGATATGCTATAGATGTAACAACAGTCTTAGCAGAGTCTGAGGAGGCACTCTGTAATTAAACCTATTAATATTTCTGCAGTCAAATGTATGAATATTCACAGTAAGTGGGGCAAAGACAGAAGAGCCTTATATCAGTTTGGGTCATTTTGTTGCCTAACTAATTATGGAAAAACTTGATTCCAGAGTTTTTTGGGTTTTGAATTTCAGATAATCAATTGTAAACCTGTCATAAAGTGTGTTATGTGTGACAGTATTAATAGGTATAATGCTTTTTACAAATATTTAAAAATGTAGTGGAATTATATATATCTTTATTTAGCATTTATCAGTTTTTCCACAATTTTACCTTTTATTTCATCCTGTAAAATATTCTCTTTGTACAGCTGCTGTATTCTCGAGGATTGCTAATTGATCTTTTAATCAAATCTAATGTAAGTCGATATGCAGAGTTCAAAAATATTACCAGGATTCTTGCATTTCGAGAAGGAAGAGTGGAACAGGTACTTTGCTACTGAAGTATTATAACTGGGTATGAGCTTAAGTTATTATGATATATTTTAGAAGGATAAGCAAATAGGATTGTTATTTTCCTGGCAAAGCAGCAAATTCCAATCCTGCATGGTAAAAGTAAATAGTAAGAGATTACTCAGTTAAAATTTCTAGTGTTAATTTTTTCATGAGTTATTCTGCAGCCTGATGTTGGTGTTGAGAAAAGGTTAATATCAGGCAGTATTGCTAGATTTGAGCTGTCATTTGTACCCAGTTAGGGGTGACGTGCCATTGGCCTTTTAATGGCATAAGGAGCAACTTGGCAGAATTAAGTAAGAGAGCTCACAAGTTAATTAGCTCTGAAGCCAACAGAGATGCCATTAGAACTGATGGAAGGTAACATGAATGGCTAGCATGGAAATAATGATCTTGTTATAGTTAAAAGGAAAAGAAACGTAATTTGGAATACTTGTATCACTAGGAAGCAGTTTCTTAACTTAAAATCATGTTTTTCAGGTTCCTTGTTCTAGAGCAGATGTCTTTAATAGCAAACAACTTACTATGGTAGAAAAGCGAATGCTAATGAAGTTTCTTACATTTTGTATGGAGTATGAAAAACATCCTGATGAATATAAAGGTATTGTTTTCTATTAAATTGTGTTCTCTAGTTATTTGAGCTTTCTTATTTTAATATGCTTGCTCTGATGTAGTAAGCCACTCATTTCTCTGTTAAAGTACATTCTTACTCTGCACTATCCAATAGGTTAGCCATGAATAACATGTAGCTATTTAAATTAACATTAATTAAAATTAAATTTAAAATTCAGTTCCTCAGTTGGACTAGCCATATTTGAAGTGCTCAGTAGCCACGTGTGGTTATTAGCTACTATGGCTACAGTACATCTATAGAATGTTTTCATCATTGTGGAAGTGCTATGCTGGGTGTTAGTTTTTATTCTTGTTAAGTAAATACTGCTGTCAACTAGTTCTTCATAGACGATACATTCTTTTCATTGTTCCATTAATTTTTTTCAGCAGTTAAAAAAATCTGTATATTTTTTTCATTTTCCCAGGATTATTTTGCTTGGTATATTGAATTATTCATTTTGACTGATTAAGAAAAAGAGGCTAGATGGTATGGGGAGTGTATTAGAGGACATAGTTTCTAGTCTTGGCTTTGACCCAAATCATACAGTTACTTCAGAGTTTGTTGAAAATTGAACATCTCCGTTTAGTATCAGAGCTTTATACTTTTTAAGTGCTTTGGGCTGGAAACATTATCCAAAATAGGAATATTCTATTGATGTTTCATTTATAAGGTTACAATGAGAAATATAGCAGTATTTTTTTTTTTTTACTTGATGGAATATTAAAAGTCAGGCTCTTGCTCTTAAAGCTTCATGTCCATTAGATACTGCCAAATCGTTCTTCACAGTGGTGTAAACTTATGTTCTCTCAGTAAATTTTTACAATTTTTATGTTTTTTTCTTTCATCATGGAGTTGTATTTCCTACCACTAACAGTCCAGTTACATTTTTTTCTGTTCTTTAAATGAGTAGTTTTTAGGGGTCCCTTGTTTTGAGGTGTGATATAAGGCAGTAAGACTGATTCCATTAGCCACACAGAAATTAACTTCCTTACTTTTTAGTCATAGTTTATTGTTCTTAGTTTTAGTAAGAAATACACATTTCAAAAAAATTAAGTATCATTGTTTTCACCAAAAAATTGCCATTTGTCATATTTAATATTTCAAAGTATAATTATTGACATTATTCTGCAGTTTTAATGATAATAAAGTTAATTATTGCCAATTATGGAAACCTGTTGTGATGGTTAATGAATTATTTAATATTTTTCTAGTTTTTTAAGTCTGTAAACTACTAAAGATTCATCATTTAAAGCTTAAAAATTGTGCCATTAATTCAGTTAAGATAGTGAGATTGTTTCTAGTTTCTTTTTTTCCCCTAAAGTCTGTGGTTTCTGTCTAAAATGTAATATTTGCCACCTGGGTCTTTTGCCAAGTGTTTTGAACAGGCTTGATTTCTTTTGTGCAGTGTTTTTTAAATTGGAAGTTTGGTTCTGATTTTAACTGATAAATTTTTATCTTTACATAGCCTATGAGGAGATTACATTTTCTGAGTATTTAAAAACTCAAAAATTAACCCCCAACCTCCGGTACTTTGTCCTGCATTCAATTGCAATGACATCAGAGACAGCCTGCAATACCATAGATGGTCTCAAAGCTACCAAAAACTTTCTTCGCTGTCTTGGGCGGTATGGCAACACTCCATTTTTGTTTCCTTTATATGGCCAAGGAGAACTTCCTCAGTGTTTCTGCAGGTAAGACTGGCATTGGTTCTCTTGTTTCTTCTTAAGGTAATAAATAACAGATGAAAATTAAAAAGACAAAAATGAGATTTATTCAAGATTTAGTATATGCAAGCATAGTCTGTTGTTCTGCTCTTTTATAAATCTATGTATTTGCCTACCTACCTGTCTGATATTCAGTTTGGCCTGTGTTTGAACTTCATAAAATAGAACCCCACTGTAAATTCCTTATTTCACTCAATATTAGTTTCAAAACACCATCCTTGTTTTGCATAATTATACTTTCATTGCTATGTAGTATTCCATTGTGAATATACCACAATTTATTTTTCCATTTTTCTTTTGGTAGACACAAGATGTTTCCAGGGGTTTCTTTTTGTTGGTTTGTTTTTGTTTTTTTGTTTTGTTTTTTGCTGTTATTAACATCCTTGTGTATGTTTCAGGATATGTATGTTCAAGAATTCCTCTAGGATACATATCTAGGAGTGGAATTTCCAAGTCATGGGGTATATGAATGTTCATATAAGATGGTACCCAAATTTTTCTCCAGAACACTGTACCAGTTTACATCCCACAGCAGTATATAAGAATTTCCATAGGTCTACATCTTTGCCAACTTTTGTTATTAGGTTTTTAAGTTTTTGTCAATCTGACTCACATAAAATAGCCTCACATTATACTTTTATTTTGCATTTCATAGACTACTTATGAGGTGGAGCATCTTCTCAATGGTTATTGGATATTCATGTTTTCTCTTTCGTGAAATGCATGTTCCTGTGTTTTTCCATTTGTCCCTTGTGTTATTGTATTTTCCTTATTGATTTGTAGGAGTTTTTGTTCTGAATACTAATCTTTTCTTAGTTGTATGTGTTGCTTTATGGTATTCATGATGCATGATGCATTAAGATTAGTCAAACATAACAATCTTTTTTTTTTTTATACTTAGCACTTTTAGGGTAGTGGAGCATGGTAGTTAAAAACCTGGACTATGGAGACAGACTACCAAGATTTAAGTCCTGGCTTCTCCATTCGTTGGCCATGTAACCTTGAGCAAGTTTTACAGTCTATAAGAATCAACTTTTTGGCTTTTTGATTCTTTCTATTATAGCTTTGTGTTCCTAGTTCATTAATTTCCATTCTTTATTATCTCCTTTATTTTGATTTCTTTGGGTTTTGTTCAGCTCATCCCTCCCCTTTTCTGTCCCTGCCAATTCTTAGGAGGAAACCCAATGTTAAATATGTATCTTTTTTATTTTCTAATATAAGCATTTAAGATGATAAAGTGTCAACTCCTCTTTTGACCCTTCACAGTTATTATGTATTATTTTCATTATCTTTTAGTCTTAAATATCTTAATTTCCATTATGATTTCTACATTGACCCATGGATTGTTGAGGGGTTTTATTTTATTTATTTATTTTTTTAAAGATTTATTTATTTGACAGAGTGCACCAGCAGGGGGGGTGGGAGAGGGAGAAGCAGAATCCCCACTGAGCAGGGAGCCTGATGCGGGGCTCGATCCTGGGAGTCCGGGATCATGAACTGAGCTAAAGGCAGGCGTGTAACCCACTGAGCCACCCAGGCGCCCCATTATGAGAGGTTTTAAAATAGCTGATTTGGTTGATTCTTTTGCTCTTACCATCTAATTTCATTGTAGAAAATTAATTTACGTCTGGAAAATGTTTTTTTTTTTAATTTAAATTCAATTAACCAACATAGTGTACATCATTAGTTTTTGATATAATGTTCAGTGATTCATTAGTTGTGTATAACACCCAGTGCTCATCACATCACGTGCCCTCCTTTAATGCCCATCACTCGGTTACCCCATCCCCCCACCCTCCTCCTTATCCACAACCCTCAGTTTGTTTCCCAGAGTCAAGAGTCTCTCATGGTTTGTCTCCCTCTCAGATTTCTTCCCATTCAGTTTTTCCTCCCTTCCCCTATTGTCCTCTGCCCTATTTCTTATATTCCACATATGAGTGAAACCATATGATAATTGTCTTTATCTTATTGACGTATTTCACTTAACATAATACCCTCCAGTTCCATCCATGTCGATGTAAATGGTAAGTATTCATCCTTTCTTATGGCTGAGTAATATTCCATTGTATATACGAACTGCATCTTTATCCATTCATCTATTGAAGGGCATCTTGGCTCCTTCCACAGTTTGGCTATTGTGGACATTGCTGCTATGGAAAACATGTTTTTTGTTTTTTTTTTAAAGATTTTATTTATTTATTTGA